AGGGCTCAATGTCCAGATGGAGATTGGTGACGAGTGGCGTCCCACAGGGGTCCGTATTGGGACTGGTACTGTTTAATATTTTCATCAATGACATAGACAGTGGGATTGAGGGCACCCTCAGCAAGTTTGCAGATGACAACAAGCTGAGTGGTGCGGTCGACATGCCAGAGGGACAGGATGCCATCCAGAGAGACCTGGACAAGCTGGAGAAGTGGGCCCGTGTGAACCTTATGAGGTTTAACAAGGCCAAGGGCAAGGTCCTGCACCTGGAACCCTCAGCATAAGAAAGACACGGAGCTGCTGGAGCAGGTCCAGAAGAGGGCCATGAAAATGATCAGGGGGATGGAACACCTCTCCTATGAAGAAAGGCTGAGAGAGTTGGGGTTGTTCAGCCTAGAGAAGAGAAGGCTTCAGGGAGACCTTATTGCAGCCTATCAGTACTTCAAGGGGGCTTATAAAAAAGATGGTGGCAAACTTTTTAGCAGGGCCTGTTGCGACAGGACAAGGGGGGAATGGTTTTAAACTAAAGGGTGGGTAGATTTAGACTAGATATAAGGAAGAAATTGTTTACTGTGAGGGTGGTGAAACACTGGCGCAGGTTGCCCAGAGAGGTGGTGGATGCCCCATCCCTGGAAACATTCCAGGTCAGGTTGGCTGGGGCTCTGAGCAACCTGATCTAATTGAAGATGTCCCTGCCCACGACGGGGGGGTTGGACTAGATGACCTTTAGAGGTCCCTTCCAACCCAAACTATTCTATGATTCTATAATTCTGTGATTCTATGATTCTTTGATATGAAAATGTTGAGAACTACTAATAAATAATTGTTACTTAAAATAACAGCTGATAAGTTTGTAAGGTGGTAAAAGCCAAAATTCTATTAAACATTTTACTGAAAGTGCAGACTTTTATCCTCCAGTGTTAGAAATCTCTGTATTATGAGTGCCATGCATATTTGGTTTTTTTAATTTGTTCTAGGGAAATGGATTGATTATATAAATTTAGTGTGATTATTCACATTGCTCTGTTTCAGAGATTTAAGGCTGTGGAGTCACCATTCGGTCCAATTCAGTCCTCAGTCCTGGCTCCATGACTGACTTGCAGATCTGCAGCCTCACACTATGACTCTCTGCATGCCTCGCAAGCTGGCTTTACCTCCATTATCTGTATTAGGGGAAGGGAAATGAGGTCTGCATCCCTGAGCCTCATCCCACATGAAACAGCAGCATTAGCAGAGCATGCATTGGCTTCTGGGAAATGTTCTCAAGTCCCACAGTGTCAATGTAGCTTTAAACTCCCTGCATAGAAAAGAGAATACAGTAAGCCTCCAGTGATGTTCCAGGTCAGTTTTGGAAGAGTCCAGAACTTTCCATTACCTCTAACAAGATGCTAAGTGCTAGCTAAACTATGTGCCCATCATTGATACAAATACTGAAGCCTTCACAAATCTTCATTTTATTTGAGCTTTTATTAGCATTATGTATAAGAAAATTAAGTTTTCTCTTTAATTATAAATCAGCCTGTATTTTAATTTGAAAAAATAGTTTTAAAATATTTTTAAAATATGATATATTTGCATCTTCAGTGTTTCCTTCATCGCTTTTGAAATAAAGAGAGGAGGCATAGAACACTTAAGATTTTCAGTTTCAAGTCTGTCACTGGAGTTTAAATGAAGATAGTATTGTTAGGTGATCTATTATGATTTCTTGCATATCACTTACCACACCCCATTGCATTTTATTTAATCACCCCTTTATTAAGCCTTATATATATATATACACATATAGTCTTGACTTTTCAGCAAGTCCTTTGGTTTCTTCAGAATAGACCTTTTTCTTCAATTATACTGTTGCAGTGCAGATGATCTTACTAAGAATTCATTTAGTCAGTTTAGCTACAAACTGATGAACGTTCTTATTCACTATTATATTGCTTCTGAGTCTCCAAATAATCTCTGCTAGTACTCCACACTCCATCTGAAATGCAGATTAGCAGCCAACTACATCTTTTAATCTTTTAGGAACATGACTTGCATGCACTGAACTTTCTCTGTTACCACTGTCTTCACTGCAGGCAGAAATAAAACCTGTTCTTCTTATTCCACATAGCACAAGTATACATTTGGCCACTACCATTAAGAATGCCAGCCTCCACCTAAAGAGTTCAGGTAATTTTTCCAAAAAGAAAGTGCAACACAGTATTTCAGTATTACTGGTGCAAATAGTACAGGTAGAAAGAACACTTGTACTGCTAGTGACACCAGCACCTACCTAGCATTGCATCTTTTTCTTTTCTTTTCTTTCCAGCAAACCTAGACTACACAAGTCTTATGGGGAGCGGCTGAGGGAACTGGGGTTGTTTAGCCTGGAGAAAAGGAGGCTGAGGGGAGACCTCATTGCTCTCTACAACTACCTGAAAGGAGGTTGTAGCGAGGTGGGGGTTGGTCTCTTCTCCCAAGTAACTAGCAATAGGACAAGAGGAAATGGCCTCAAGTTGTGCCAGGGGAGGTTTAGCTTGGACATGAGGAAAAATTTCCTCATGTTAAACATTGGAACAGGCTGCCCAGGGAAGTGGTTGAGTCACCATCCCTGGAGGTATTTAAAAGACATGTAGATGTTGTGCTTAGGGACATGGTTTAGTGGTGGACTTGGCAGTGCTAGGTTAACGGTTGGACTTGAAGATCTTAAAGGTCTTTTCCAACCTAAACAATTCTATGATTCTATTTTTTCTACAGAGTCACTCCTAGAGAGAAGATAAAAATCATTAAGCTTCATGAATATACTCCCTATCCATACACCTACTAATCTGCATGGAATAACACCTAAATCTAAACCCATGATTTAGTTTTGCATTCATTAATTAATTCTTGGTTTTGCTAGACTCTAGCTTGATTCATTAGTATTTTATCTTGTGCAATGTAAGAAGCAGGTAACCAAATTATAAGAAAATATCCATACAATGTTTTTGTACCCACATTTTCCTTTCTTAAAAAAGTTTTCCCAGCTGATTTCATTGTCCCTGTGGCAGCCTCACTGTAGTGCTCAAAACTTAGTACTGGAGTTAAATAATATAAGCACATATCAGAAATCACTTACTGTGGTTTAGTTTTTTTAATAACGCAGATATCTGTCCCAGAAAATATATTTCTGCCAATACACCCAACTAAAGTAATATACCTAAACATGGAAGTAATGTAAATATGCAGAACAATCCACACTCCTTTACACAGTCCTACAAAAAGGGCTAATAAACTTGAAAATGATGTAAAACAGAAACTACTAATTGCTGCTGCTCTTATTTGTTGTCTTTACAAACTGACAGGCTAATTATTTGAGTATTTCAGCAGAAGCAAATATACATGAAAATAAAGATATTTTCAAAATCTGCACTTGAATAGCAGTGTAAAAAGACAAACTAAGTGTGTAATAAGTATATAGTCACTAAAAAGGAAGGTTGAATAGCATAATGGGTTTTCATGTGGTCTTTTCACCATATGATAATAATAGAATTGAGAAACGCAAAATGTCGCAGAATTTAAAGACATGGAAATTTGCATCTCGGAACTAGCATACTATGACCTATGTCTCCTATGTTTCTCATCCTTTGTCAGACTTCAGGACTTTCTTCTCTGTACCAAGACTCATAGTCCCATGCACCTTTTCCTGTCCACCCAAACTTTCTGAAACTATTAGCAGTATGAAAAAAGTCACAGTTCCCAAAACTGTGAACCCATAACATGTGTTTGAAATTGTGTGGACTTGGTAGAACAATGCAGTAAATAATTTTTATAAGTCAATGACCAAAACCCAAAGTCTTCAGGTGCACCTTTCTTACTTCAAGCTGGTATTGATAAGACGAATATATCAAGAGGTTATAAACTGCTTAAGGTGTCATGCTGTCCTCAGTACCAGTTGGAGGACTTTTATGATGTGAACATATGAAACCATAAAACTGACAGAGAAAACCCTGCTCCCATGTGTTTCATTGCAGGTAGTAGGACAATGTAACTATCTCCCCTCACTCAAATCACTAGGCTAGTAGTCTAAATTTGGAGAGCATTATGGGACTAAATCATTCAAGACTTTGGAGAAAGTCTAAGCTGATTAAAAATCCAGTCTTCTAGTGCACAGTGAGCATTTTAGTTATTCAGACCTACATGATCAGGAACCTTTTACTTTTCTGAAGGTTACGCTTCCCTCTTCACAATATGAATGAATTGGAGTCATAGATGTATTCTATGGGTCTATCCAGCTTTTCTTGTTCAGAAATGTAAATTCATATGAAGATATAGATACATGCCAAAATTAGAGAAGACAGTGAAGGAAAATGAAATGTCAGAATTTGCTATATGTTATTTAATAGTAGCCACCAGTTGCTGCCATTAATTTTACAAGTGATTTTTCTTAGCAGCTCCTTGACATAAAGGGGAAAACTGTGTCTTAGTTCTTTGTGAGATAAGCTGCTGCAAGCAGCAGGAAAATTTTTGTTTACCTTGCTCTCTACAAGCAGATTTAACTCCTCTTGCTGGCTTCATTCTCTCAAGCTGCTCATTAGACTGCAAAATATGTCTGATGAGAAAGCCATTTTAAGGCATGATGAACACTTAAAGCATACTATATACTGTATTGTTAACTTAGTAATATTTCTTCCTTATCTTTTTTTTTTCTTTGAACTATTGCTTTTTAATATAGCATCTGAAGTAATGTGATATGAGCCTCTGGAAAACAAACATAATTTTGCATACTTTAATCTCACTTTATAAAAGCTATAATATACTTACATTTATTCAGACTTCCTAAACTATAGCACTTCTATTTCCACAGAAAGTGTTGACTATGGGCCAGTGTTTGTACAAGAACCAGATGATGTGATTTTTCCAACTGATTCTGAGGAGAAGAAAGTATCTCTGAATTGTCAAGCTCGTGGAAATCCTACTCCCACATACAGGTACCTGTTTTAGAATTTTTTTTTTAGTTTTCAGAATATTAGCCACTGCAATCCCACCCTGAGAGTCAGTGTGCTTTGGAGAACAACATAAAAGAGACAGCTCCGTGACACAAATGGCTTTCCTGATTGAATGCTTTTTCTGATTCTGAATAAGCAAGAACATAAGTGGTATTGAATAAAGGCAAAGCGATACGTGAAGTTTCAAATTATGTTCTCTGTGCATCATATCTATCCATGTGGAGGGACTCCTTTTGTCCAGTTTTTTGTCTTGTGTCTGTATCAGCTGACAAGATCAAAATCTTTAACTGATTTTTTTTCTAAAGATCTATAAAGCCAAGAAATACTATCCCATTTTATAGGGAAAGCAGTAAAGAATGGGTACGTTAAATAACATGACTATGCAATACAGGATACCATGGCTGAGCCAAATTTGGTGTTTTTTCACTCACAAGTCCACCATTTTATTCCTTTGTCTGTTGCCTATTTTTCCATACAGACTATTATGCCACAGATATGTACTATACAGATCTGTTATGACACACTTGTGAACCTGAGACTTTAGTTTATTAATGGTGCTCACTTACAGGTGGGAACAGTATGTTGCAGTCACCTTATACATTTGCTATATCTGACTCTGCTCATATTTTATACAAATTACAAGTGATGTAGGAGGGCTGGGAGAACATATGGTTGACTATTTTTTTCCATACACCCTTTATCTTTTCTCATAGAGTCCTTCTTCACTTACAAAGGGAACATAAGGACTCTTATTGTTGTGCTTTGTCATAGGTGACAATCATCAATTCTGCATTTTATGTTTTACCTTTTACACTTATTTCACTTGCTGATTCTTTAGCATTCTGGATGAATTCTCCTTAGACTTATTTGAATCACAAAACTTGCATTTCTATGGCTGGAAGAAATTCAGAGGCAGTACAATCTTCAGATATCCCCATCACAACAGCACTGAATGTGCCTCTTTGCAACAGATGTGAGTCATTAAATGGATCTGATGCATGGCACAACCTCCCCAAACAGCACAGGCATGACTAGAACATGTAACATGGGATTAGGAATGAGTGGCCAGAAATTCTTCAAACTGGAATTACATGAACTCCTCACCATGTGGGATGAAAGCTATGTTGCATTCTTCCTCATTGACATTCCTTGTGTAATTTCTATTACATATTCATTGCTTTATTGATAAAAAAATATGTATATTAGTTCCACACACTGTTAAAGTGATATCAGTCCATTAAACATAGCATGTGACCATGAGGAAAAGGCACAAATTCCCACCAAAAGAGGGGAACCCTATGTTCAGCCCTCCCAGACAACCTCATTATTCTTGTGGAGATTTTCTCTTTGGAGAACCTATGTCATCTCCTTTCTTTCTTGGTCCAACTGTTTTTTGCATTTTCTCAGTGGAATGCAATCAACAAATACAGACTTTCAGCATATCTTAAAGGGCAGCTACAAAGAGGACAGAGGCTCTTCTTTTCACAAAGAACCACATGGAGAAGGCAAGCGGCAACAGTTGCAAAGGGATGTTTCATAGAAGAGAGGTTTCATCTCAGTATAAGAAATAAATTTTTTACTGTGAGAACAATCATTGACTGGAACAACCTCCTCAGGGACGTGGCAGAGTCCCCATCACTGGAGGTTTTCAAGATGCAATTGAACAAGATGCTAGATAAACTCATCTAGGCTCCCTTTTCCACAAAAGATTGGACCAAATGATCTTTCGAGGTCCCTTCCAACCTGGGCTGTTTTATGATTTTGTGATATCCATTCCTTCAGTTTTCCAGATATTAACTGGTGTCAGCAGACTTGTAAACAAACTTTCCTGACTGCTGTTCATGCAAGGAAAGCTTTGACCTGAAAAGCCTAATTCTAACAGCACAGTTTAACTTCTCCTCCTTCTGTTGTTGCCACTTGTCTGTACAGCATATGCAATACACACTACCATTTGGGGGAAGGGAAAAGAGATATAAATTACTTTGTGAGGAATATACTGTTCTCCAGGGCAGGTGCAGAGGGAATTAGCCTCAAAAAATGCTACAGATAGATAGGCAAAGGTTTGTTGTATGCCACTGCCCAACCTTTGGCATATGAAGTAGTGAGGAGAAGGGATATTTCCATATCACCAAAGACCCTGTCCTATTATCTACAAACACTGGACAATAGAGATCTTTATTTACATGGGCTGTGAGACCCATGCTGCTAAGAATTATTTTCAGCCAAAACCAAAGCACAGTACAACTTTTTGGTTTTTTAAGCTACATTAAAATAACATTTAAAGCACTCAAAAATTCCAAAATTAAGTTGTCTCTGCCATTTTAATTCATTTCCTTAGTCTGAATAACTTATGACACAGTGTTCATAACCTGTTTACAAATTCTTTTTTTTTGCTAGGACATTACTTCATTTTAACAGAATGGAGAATGCTCACATCATTTCAGATTTTCTTCTTCCTTGCAAAGAGCTTTTTTCCCCTTGTTCAAGCTCTACCCTGAAATAACAATTTTTAATTTCTTGAGTTCCAGTCATTAAGGTATCTAAATGCATTCATTTAGGGAATAACTCCCTGAGATAAACTGATTCCATTTGCTCGGCATTTCTGCAAATCATACTTTAGTATCACAAGTCAGGACCCAAACAATAAAGAACATAACTGAGACACGTTCGATGAGGAATGCAGACATTCACAAGCTTCCTGTGGGATCTCACAGGTCACCAGTGTTACTGAGTTAAAGGCAGGTGCAGAATTCCCTGAGATGCCACTTCACTACACTGCTTTCATTGCTTGTGAAACACTGCGTTTCCTATTTTACTTAGGACACATATAAGCTGGTTAGAAATTTTTTGTCAATATCATTTCCTGATAGAAAAGGCAGTTGAAAAGAAAATTTAAAAATTACTTTCTGTCTGCTTAAGCTAAATGAGAATATTTTGAAATGTTATCTGTCACTTGTCTTAAAGAAAAAATGTAGCTGATTTTCCCTATCAGCTCGTTACATTTTAAGTATTATATTTGTCATCCCAGATCAGTCAGGGTACCTGGAAGAAAACACGTCACACAATTCAGTGTTGCTTTTCCTCTAATGTGCTTGGATTATATGAGGGGAATACAATCATTCAGGATGGACCCCAAGATATATAGGCAGGCAGCAATCAAGATCCAAAGTTTTGCGGTAGCATTACAAAAAAATATTTTTGCATTGACTTTAACTGAAAATGAAACTAAGTGAAGAAAGCTAATTAAAACAAACTGAATTTTGTGTCAGTTCCCATTTGGAAATGCCAAAACATGTAATTCTGACTTTTTCCTTATCTAAATCTCTCATCATTTCTGGATCAATTAATTTTGAATTTTTATTTCATATATATATGAATATATATGCATGTGTAAAAGTTAACTTTCATTATGATTTCATTCAAAATCTTGAATCATTAATAAATTGTTCAAGATGAAATGTTCCTCTTCTTTTTAGCTCTGCTATGTATGAATCTCTAAAAATGTAGTGAATCCTACAGACATTTCCCTAGTATCCTTTGCAACATAAATATATTGCCAATGGTGTTTCATTTCTTACATTGAATGAAGCAGGGGTCCTCTGTGATCAAAAGTCCAATCATGAAAAAAGGGGGCAAACAATAGTTCCACAGTTCACCTTAATTCTGGCAATTCTGACCTTTGGAATTAGAAAAATTCAGAGCTACTTCAGCTGAATTCTGCTGTCTGTACCTCATTCACCATGAATGTTAACAAGATAGGGTGAACTGATAATCATTTTGCTTCATTAAAGTTGCCTCTGGAGTCTAGATGTTGCCAAGTTCTTCGCCTTTGCTGAACTCTCGCAAAGCTTGGAAGTGCCTGGCAATTTCCTGAGGCAACTTTGAAATTGCAGAATGACTGTGAACTAGCGATGAAGGAAATATCTGTGCATCATAATAGCTGTGCCGTACCTGTTCACACTGCTTATCTCTTCTTTGCATTCTTTTAACAATTTCATGTTCTATACAGTTTAACACAAAAACAAATCTAAAAAGTCTTCTTATGTGGGTTATTATTTTTTAACTGAGATACTGCAACACCACCACCACCACCACCACCACCACCACCACCCCCGGGTTATTCCAGCATACTGGAGTCTATTAATCTACCACACAAAATCTTTTCTCTTGCAGCCAGTGGATTAGTGCAGGGTTTGTTGTTTCAGTCTGGAGATGAATGAAAGGGGTGAGGCTTTTTGGCAGAGAATGTCCAGGGGGAAAAAAAAACAACCCAAAACCCACTCACACAACAGAAAAATTATGAGACTCTTAGGTTACTTCTGAAACCTCAGAAAAAGAAGTGTTTGTTCAGGAATTATTCAATGCTTTGGCTCAGGTGTGATACTTTCTAATGTTTTCTACAGCCTGACTTTTTCCACCTTATCTTCACTCCCATCCCTGTCTTTACTGTCCAGGCTTCTCATTTCACTCCCAAACACCTCCCAAACTTAGCATTCCCTCTGCCAACTCCTCATTTGATCTTATTTTCCATTTACCTGGTAGCTGCCAGGCATTACCCTTGAACAGGTGCCAGCTAATTCCAGTCTCCCCTGGACCAGACTTCTCTGAATTTCGTGTGTCCTGGCCCAGCTGATACTGCTTTGCCTCCGTCCATTGCCGACATCCTTTATTTCATAACAGCCTACGTACATCAGTCTACCTCCGTGCTCGTCACAGGCCTTGCTCTTCTACTTTCTGTATTTAAATCGGGCTTCTCCGTTTCTTGGGCCCAGAAGAACAAATGCTGAAAGAATTGAAAAGAAAGGTTCCTTGCTGTCATGCCATGCAGACTCAGCTCTACGAAGATGCTAAGCTCATCTAGGCCTAAGGCTTTAATGATGAAATGTGAATTGAAACACTGATTATCATAAGCACGGTTAAAGTCCAATTTTTTACATAAAGGATGCATCTGTTAAACAGGTTTTAAGTCTGAAGCCTTTATGGACGATAGTTTTTTGGGGGGAAAAAAAAGAAAAAAATAGAGGTTACTAATTTGATTCAGCATAGGCAAAACAAAGAATATGCTTTCTGTTCAGATGTTGAAGATCTGGTTTTACTTGTGTTTTTTCAGAAAAACTTAGCTTTTGTCAGGCACGTGTTGTGGAATTTCTCCATCCAAAGCTTTGCCAAAGTAGTGGGTTCCTGCACAGGGTACCTTTGAGTAGCCGTCCTCCTTAGTAACTGCCAGGGCTGTCAGGTTCTGTATGCTAAGCTTGATGCCTGCCTTTGGCCATAAAAGGCTCAAGGAGTTTCTTTCTTTTTTCCTAAGATGGCTTCGAAATGGAACTGCAATCGACATTGAAAGTGATTATCGCTTCAGTTTAATAGAAGGAAGTTTGATCATCAACAACCCCAGTGAAATGAAGGATTCTGGACAGTATCAGTGTTTAACCACCAACATGTTTGGCAGTATTTTAAGCAGAGAGGCTGTTCTTCAGTTTGCATGTGAGTAACAATTTTTTTAACATGGATAAATCAGATCTTTACATTGCTTGATAAGGCTCTAAATGGTAATTTGAATCCATTACACAAGTTATACTGTTCACTGACTTTGTTGGGCTAAGATCTCAAAATTAGAAATAAAATGCTTAGTGGGAAGGAGTGATTTTCTGTGGACTTTGTACTACTAAAATAGAACCAACTATCAGGGAAAATAACTTTAGTATGTTATCCTAAATGCTATCCTTTAATGACGTACTTGAATACTCCACAACAATATATTTCACTCATTGCTGGTTTCCTGAAACATGTATCACTTTGCCACATCACCTGAGCAGGAGAGAAAGAACTGTAAATTTAGGAATAGAGTTTAGGGGTAGGGATAGGGTTAGGGATAAACTGCCTATATATCTGTAGGATAATCTGCACCTATAACTATGTGTGTGAGAGCATAGTTTTGTATGTATATATGTATATAAATATACATGTTTTATGTCCATATTTATGCATACATATCATGCAAACATTCATACATTATGAGACTGAGAGTGTTTTTTTGTTGTTAATAGAAACTGAAAATGTCATAGCTTTTGAAATCATTCACTACAATATACTTTCTAGAAGCTATCAACAGTTCATGATCCCAAGTAAATGCTATGGTCTATCTGTAGCATGTTCTTTTTCAAACATACTATCAGGAAAAACAGGCACAGAATTTCAGATATTCTACCTCCAACCCTGACTTCCCTTCAGCACTTTACAGGAGGGCAACCAACACCATTTTATTGCTTTATCTAGGTAAATCCTACCATGAGGGGTTTTTAAGAGGCAGGGATGCAAAAAGAACTCCACCCTGATTTCTCAGATCCAAGGACATTACCATGAAACAAGAGGCAGATGATCTTATAGCCATAACTGGAGAACAGTGGGGTTAAGGACAAGTTGCCTACCTGCATGTCTACTAACACATCTGGTGGTGTGGAGAACTCAGCAGAGATAGTGTGGGGTCTGAGATTCTCCCTTAATCCACCCCTTCCTGGTGAAGGCAGACCTCTCAAATCTATAGCTTTAGTCTTATCTGCTGCAGATCCTGTCAAGGTATTTGTTAGCAAGATCATGGCACTGTCCACCTACTTCTGAGCTGGGAGCAATACTGACATTTGTCAAAGTTTCCTCATGCCAGGACAGTATGTTTAAAACTCTAAACATCGCAACAGTGGTCTTATCACAGTATTATTGGACCTCAGTCTTAAACGTAGCTCTGAGAAAATTCTGCTACATTTTATCTTTTAGACAAGAAAAATATCATAAAACAAATCACTTGGTTAGAGAACCTGACAACTGGTAAATATAGATAAGTCCCAGGGCTCTGAACCTCAGCTTTCTGTTCCCATATCAGGAGCATGGCTAACAGGTGGCCATTTGACCTCAAGCTGAAAAAATAATACAGAGAAAGTGAGAGTTGGAGCTCAAACAACAGAAGGCCTATGAGTTTCAGTAGCTATATCCACAGTTCATTCAGGACCCCATGTACTTCTAGTTACAATATTATCTCCTCCAATAAAACAAATTTAGATAAGGTTGTAAAAAAAAAAAAAAAGAAAGAAGAGGTTGGGTTTGGTGGGTTTATTCTTACTGGATTTTAAAATTATTATTAGCTTGCGCACCTGTTTTTGCAGGTATCAAAGTTGTTATACTACAATGGCTTGAATGTGACTTCTGTTCATTAAAGTATTTACTTGGGAATTGTAATGAAAGTTTCCCAGGCAAGGTTAATGGAGGAATGCTAGCTGGAAGCATTGAGGTGTAGCAAACAATGCTGCAGAACTTGCGAGAGGGAAGAGGCCATTATAAGCACACAGAAATCTTTAAAAAAGGATAGAGAGTCATAACTGGTTGAAGTTCTCTTAGAAGTTCATGAGCAACCCCTTCACAAGAGTGATTTCAAGTTCAATGTATATTTGTAGTTCAACTTCTTTGTAGCATGACACTCCCACTCTTGATTTAATGCTTCTTCAAATCCCTGATCTTAAATGGCTGATGTGTTCCTGTTGAAACAGTATTTGCATCATGCAGCAACTCAGAGTATAAATTGGTGTCACCATACTGTAAACTCATAGCAACCTATCAGAAGCTTATATCACAGAAATGTTTTAGTAAGTCAGATCCAAAGTAAATTTAAAATAAAGATTTTCATTGTGATTTCAGCTTTAAAATATCTAAGACACTGTCTTGAATTTGACCAGAAATTTCAGATAAATTTTCTTGAAGCAAAGAATGCAATACTTTCATCCTGATATCTTGGGTGATATAAAGTTTACACTGGTTCCCAAAGTGCTAATACTTTTTATTTCCTTTAAGAAACTGAAATGTGCTTTTCAGATGCTTAAAGGGAAGATCTTTGCTTTACAGCATGAAGGATGGTTTTATGATTTAAAACATAATATTTTGGAAACCTCTTACTTCATATCTAGAAAAACTTCTGTAATCACAATCTTTCTGAAATAAATTAGGAAATTTTCCATATTAAGATATTTTAACCAAGTAATATATGACATCTTATTTATTAATAACTCTTTTTCTTGCATTTAAATTCATTAATTACCTGAAAACAGCCTTAGCTGAGATAGTATACAATTAAATGGTCTTTAGATTAGACTATGTTCATACAGTAATTAACATTGAGCTCTAAAGCATTATATAGATAAGTAGCGATGGACTAGACAAAGATTAGCTTACATTACCCTGAAATAAATATAAGAATTTTAAAAATGTCATGCTTATGATGAAATACTGTAAGATAAAATTTCAGTATAGTTGAAGTAGGACATTTTATAGTATTGCTTGCTAACAGCAGGCTTGCATATCTCTAGTTATTTTCAGTAGATAGAAAGTAAAGCATTGAAAAAGATTTTTGTAAGGAAAGGTCCTAACCTTAAAGTAATTAAAGTAATAGGTGCCCTGCAATTTTACTGGGCTCTAATGGCTTGAAGGGTAATTTATAACCCCAAGGATAAACCAAGGCATTTCTGATTATGAGATACAGAGCTACACATAATGCCATTCAGTTTCCCTTTTTTCACTGAAAGCCATGGATTCCAGAAGCTTAGAAACTTACCACTTTCACAGAAAAAAATTAAAAATTAAGTTAATGGACTCACTTGAATGCATGGTTTTACTGCTGTGGAAAATAGTTATGTCTTTGCAGCTTGAAGAGCTGTTCTTCTAATTAAAGAGAGAAATGGCATACAGTTCAAAAGGAAACAACAGGGACCATTAAACAAGGCCTTTGACACTGTCTTACAGGAAAAAGCATGTGCTGTAATGTGCTGTCGTGATTTAACCTCAGTTGGCAACTAAAACATCGGTGCGTTATCAACTTTGTTCTCATCCTAAATCCAAAACACAGCACTGTACCAGCTACTAGGAAAGAAATTAACTCTACCCCTGCCGAAACCAGGACATGTGCCTATGCAAAATATCATGAAACTTGAAAAAGGAGAGCATGTTTATTGCATTGGCTCTTCATTTTCTCACAATTGCATGGCCAAAAGTCCAGTTGCTATGGTTATTATCATGTAGTTCAGCATTGGTGATGCATTACAAATGTAAATGTTTATGTACTGTATCATTTGCATTTGTGTGCATAATTAAAATAGGACTTTGAAATACTTATACAATGTCTTTGGATTTGAAAGAGAAAGAGTTATAAAATGAACATTATTTTATACATGTTTAGACATGTAACATTTGAAATAGCCTCCTGTATCACTGGTTATTTTTATGGAGCAAAGTGGAAAGACCAGTTATGTGCAGTTAAAGGTCTGCTCAAAATTTTAAACTCTCATAGCAAACATTTATGAAGATTTAAGCACCGAAAAAGTTCTCCTCTTTTTTTCTCTTCTTTGCATTTCTTATGATCTTTCATACCCAAGGTCATGGTGTTTTATGCTATTTTAAGAAAGTAAGAAAAAAAAAAAGAGAAAAAACCCATACTGTAACAGAAATTAAGGATAAATATATTGTCAATAAAAGCAAATATTTGCCAGGAATTTCTTTTGTCTTCAATAGAATTTTATGCAGAAAAAATGGGGGAAAAAAGCCCAAAGATAACACTGACAAAATGTCAAGCAAATCGGAATTCTTGATCACAAAAATTATATGTTTAAAGTCACATTTCAGAAGTTTGCTCATAGCAGGTTGTTAAAAAAATAAAAAGCTTATCAGTTTGCTACAGCTTCAAATGTCATTTATACTTCACAATCACAAGGAATAGTTCATATACGAAGTATATTGTTTTCTTAACAAGATTCTTATCAGTTCATTAAAATGTAAGAGCATTAGAGGAATAATTACCGAATTCCTTTGGCCCATCTTAACGTTAATGAATTTTGTAGTTCTGGGTGTGGCTAGCTCTATGGAAGACTTATTCAAATCCCAAACACATCTTTAAAGATTCTGCAGTCAATGGAAATAGAAAAGGGAAAGATAGTTATTCTAGCTTAAGTTTTTACTCCATTAAGAAAAATTGTGTATATATGAAGGCAAGAGCATCAGCCAAATAAAGCAAGCATAGCAAACTCATAGTTGCTGCAAGCAGACACCTAACTTTGTTGAACACCTAGTAATTTTAAAGAAGTGCACAACATCAAAAGTGTTTTGAGGGTATGAAACTTAATAACAAAGTGTAAAAGTTTTATGAAGTAACTTACGCACTAAGCACACATACATTGTTAGATGGTTTTAGTTTGGTCTCTTATCTCCTCTTATTTCTGTTGTTAGAAATTTGTGTAACATAAAGGGAGGATTTAAAAATTAAACTTTAATATTAATTTCTCAGTGTTGGCTACTTTCGGCATCTGTACATGAGCTAAAAAAGAATAAGTGACTTGAGCCTGATGGAAAATTGAAAAAAATACAGAATTTCCAAATTGACTAAATCTACCTGCCTTACTGCACAACAGCTGCAGATTTTTGTGCTGGGTTCCACAGCCTCTCTTTGGAAC